GACTGACTTGACTTCCAGTGGCCAGTGACCTTGGTTCTTCGAGGCTCTGAAACTCTTGTACTAAACTGCCCAGCAGCAAGGAGACTGCCAGCCCTCCGGGAGCGTGCTCCTCCGGCAGTACACAGTGCCCCCAGAGGGGCTGCTCTGCTCACCTGGGCTCGACCGGTAGGGGTTGGTGTCAGGCACGCTCTTGGGCAGGGCAAGGGTCTGCACCGTCCTTGCGTAGTCTAGAAGCCGCTCGGCCACCTTCCCGTCTCCGGCTGCAACCACACACACAGGGCGGGGCTCAACAGGCAGATTTTAAAACATGATTGACTACATGCCCCTGAGACCAGAAGAACTAGATGGTCCCTGGCTACCACTGCCAACCACTGGGAAAGGGATCAGCGTAAGACATCCTGGATAGTATGGGAGAAGAATGTGAAATAAAACTGAAAATCAGAAAAAAAGACCAGACTTACTGGTCTGATAGAGACTGGTGAAGCCCCTGAGACTATGGCCCTGAGTCACCCTTAATGCTTGGAATCGAACTCCTTCCCAATGGCTTCCAGTCAAGCAATAGACAGGCCTACAAGGTGAACATTTACACTGGGTGGGTGCACTCCTTAAAACAATCAACCACAGCAGGACAGAGGGGCAGTGTCTGCACAGGGAGACAGCTCAGAGGGCAGGAACGCACAGGAAAGGACACAGGGAAGAGGTAGCCACAGGGAGGAAGTGGGGAGAGAGCTGTTACACTGTGGGGACTGCAGTCAATGTCAGGAAACAAAACGTGCATGGACTGCTGTATGGAGAACGAATTTGCTCTGTCAACTTTCACCCATATCACTAAAAGAAAAAAAAATGGGCTGAGAGTCCTGGCCATGTCTGGGCCAGGCCACGTGTCATGCTCTGGCGGGCTGTCAGTGGCTCTGAGATGCTTGCATCTCCCCCACCAAGGCCTGAGCAGCACCCGACGTGGTCCACGGCAGGTCCACTGCCAGACCTCTGGCCTCGCTGCGTGGCGTCAACGGGGGCTCTGTCTGCGGCCCTGGCTTGCTCCCAGTCTCAAACAGGACCCAGCGTGGGGGACGGGGAGTTGTGTTTAGGGGTCACTGAGGTTCTGTTTGTGGTAGTGGGACAATTTGGAGAAGGAGTGTGAGAACAGTCACACAACCTGAAGGCTGTCATCAGAGTCCCTGTGCTGTGGGTGTGAAGCTGGTGAACTGACGAACGCGTCATGTGTCCTTCCACAATACAAAGGGCACAGAAGCCACCGGGACCATGTGGCAGCTCCAATGGCCCCTCTTCCGGGTGCTTGTTACAAGGGCTCACTCAGGGTGAGATGTGCCCAACACCCAGGAAGCGGGGAGGGTCATGACCACATTGCTTCAGCCAGTACTCAGATGTTACACTCCACCTTTCTCCTTCCGTGTGGATACGTGTAACACAGACATAGACAAACATGGCATCTGTCATCCGTGTGCATGTATCCGTTTCTAGTGAACCTTTGCAATGCGGCTGCACACTCCTGACACCTTTGCAAGTGAAGAACAAGGACGTCTTCCCTCAGGGTCAGATACTACGACCTCCCCAAGAAGATGGACTTGCTCTGTGGCTGATGACCTGACAGCCAGTCCACGTGTGCGTTCCCGGGTGCCCCAAGGTGTGCCTTAGTTTTCTTTCATCTTTGCACCACAGACTGTCCCCAGCCCAGTTCTAGAATATAAATAGAAAAATTGTGCAGGGTCGGGGGCTGCCAGGGGAGACAGAAGGTGCTGTGGATGGGAGCAGGGCTGCCCCCAAGATGCCTACTGCTCGCCGAGGCCCCTGAGCTGTGATCGGGCCCTGAGTGCCCATGCCGGCCCCTTAGCCTGACTGCCCTACGCTGAGGGAAGAACAGACTAGCCGTCTGCCTGTGCAGAGGCAGATGCTGGCAGCACAAGCATCCCCCAGGGGGCCTGGCTTGGCGGCTGGAGGTCTCCTGGCCAAGGGCTCTGGGTGGGCCCCTCACCATCTCAGCACTGCATCTGTGAAATGGGCTCAAGTGGCC